CCCGCGGGCTCAGGCAATCCACTCACCTCAGCCTCCCAAAGGCGCGGGATTACAGGCTGAGCCACCGAGCCCGGCTCTCATGAGACTTTTAGAAGTACCTCAGACCCCCGCCTGGGCAACAGAGCAAGACCTCATCTCTACAAAAAAACAAAATCAAAATACTAGCCGCATGTGCCTGTAGTCCCAGCCACTTGGGAGGCTGAGGAAGAAGGATCCCCTGGGCCCAGGTCAAGGTTGCAGAACTGTGATTGTGCCACTGCCTGGGCAGCAGAGTGAGACCCTGACTCAAAAAACGTACTTCAGACCTCATACTTAGAATTTAGTACTGCTAGCTGGGCTTGGTGGCTCAGCCTGTAATCCCAGCGCTTTGGGAGGCTGAGGTGAGTGAATTGCCTGAGCCCGGGTTCAAGACCCGCCTGGGCAACTTGACGAGGCCTCATCTCTACAATAAATAAAAAAATCAGCCGGGCGTGGTAGCGTGCGCCTGTAGTTCTAGCTACTCGGAAGGCTGAGGTGGAAGGATCGCCGGAGCCCAGCAGGTCGAGGCTGCGGTGGCCAGGAGCGGCCACTGCACTCCAGTCTGGGTGACAGAGTGAGACTCCAACTCAAAAAAAAAAGAATTTAGTACTGCTATCTCACTCATCTTCTAGGTGCTAAAGTCTTTGTGCCAGGCAAACCAGAGGACCTCATAGAATACTTTTGCACACTGGAATCACTTAGTGAACGTTGTGACTGCCTTGCTTGGTATGAACTCTTCTCTGGTTCCTGGGCCTTAGAAGACCCAGGAATGCCTAATGGCTCGGCCTTCCTTTGCAGGTGTTGAGTGATGAAGTGAAGCGGAAGCAGTATGATGCCTATGGCTCTGCTGGGTTTGACCCTGGGGCCAGCAGCTCCGGACAGAGCTACTGGAGGGGAGGCCCCTCTGTGGACCCCGAGGAGCTATTCAGGAAGATCTTTGGGGAGTTTTCGTCATCTTCATTTGGAGATTTTCAGACTGTGTTTGATCAGCCTCAGGAGGTAAGTTCCTCATTTTTAAGAATTATGCAAATTTTAGGCTAAGTATGACACAAACAGATTTTCAGCGTTTATTTTTCTTAGAAAGGCAAAGCAGCTTAAATGGAATGATCTGGAGCCAACCATTTTGGTAGAAAATCATTTCAATATTTGAGAAATCCTGTCGATAGTAATGAATATGTCCATTTTGCCTATATTCTTTTTTTTTTTAAGCTTGGAAAATATAGTTTATTTAGAAAGTAAATTAGAGAGACAGAGAGAGGAGATTCATCCCATTTTGCCTATATTCTTTTTTTTGAGTTGGAGTCTCACTCTGTTGCCCAGACTGGAGTGCAATGGCATGCTCCCAACCACCGCAGCCTCGACCTGCTGGGCTCCAGCGATCCTTTCGCCTCAGCCTTCCAAGTAGCTGGAACTACAGGTGCGCGCTACCACGCCCAGCTAATTTTTTTTTACTTATTGTAGAGACGAGGTCTCACCAAGTTGCGCACGCAGGTCTCGAACCTGCAGGCTCAGGCAGTCTACTCGTCTCGGCCTCCTAAAGTGCTGGGATTACAGGCTGAGTCACTGAGCCCTGCCTATTCTTAACAATTGCTTAATCAGGCAACATGTAAGTCTTTCAGAGTCCACACTTAAGAGTGTGAGTATTGTATCTAGAGCCTGCTATGTTATTCTGGGAAAGCTCAGTCCAGTACAGAGATGATGCTGATCCTCTCTCATCCGTTTTTTTGGTAAGAAAGTAGGATTTATTGAGAAGACAGAAAGTTCCCCCATTAGGAGGGGACTTGAAGGGGTTGCCCTCTCATCCATGTTTATGTCTTTGTGAGACATTGCCACAGTTGAAGAGAGGTGAGAGATGTTTTATGATCTATGTTATGATTGTAGATCATTCATGCTGTTTGTAAGCACAGATATCATCTGTGAATATTTTCAGTTTATTGAAAGTATATTTTCATTTAAATTGAGATACACATTCTCTCTTAAAAATCCTGAGGAGTAAGGCAGAGTCCCACCCCTTCTTACTTGGCAGAGTACAAGCAAGCCAGGTGCTTAAAGTAACTGAAAATCTGGCCAGTGCCTTCCTTTCTTTTAAAGGGAGTATCACATTTGGTCATTGTAAGATACAAGATAACAGGCTGTCACTTGGTTTCTTTAGTACATCATGGAGTTGACGTTCAACCAGGCTGCAAAGGGAGTCAACAAGGAGTTCACCGTGAACATAATGGACACCTGTGAGCGCTGCGACGGCAAGGGGAACGAGCCCGGTACCAAGGTGCAGCACTGCCACTATTGTGGCGGCTCTGGCATGGTAAGAGTGCATCTGAGCCCCACCATCCCCACCGTTGCTGTGTTCTGTGCTCTGTGGATAGTTATTCAGGCACTCTTAGGGCTTTGAGAGTTCATAACGAGAGGAGACTTTTCTCTAGAGCCTCCATATTCTTCCAGGTATGCTCTGTCCTGGTCAGCAATACAGGCCAAGCAAGGAAACTATGCCAACTTCTATGAAAATTCACTTTGGGGTATTTTGGCAATTTGAAAGTGAGGAAAAGACTCCAATTTTGCTTGAAGTCTCACAATTTTTTAAAAACTTGAGATTGGATCTTGCTGTATTCCCCAGGCTGGACTTGAATTCCTGGTCTGAAGTGAGTCTCCAACCTCAGCCTCCAGAGTACCCAGGATTAAAGGAGTGTGCTACCACACCCAGCTTCATTTTCCTTTTCATAGCATTTAAATATAACTCAAATGTAGAGAGTAGTGTAGAGAACTCACTACCTTATTCATTTTACTTAGATTCACCAATTTTTAATGTTTTGCCCCATCTGCTTTGTGCCCACCAGTTTTCTTTACCTTTTTTTTTTGGAGAGGGGGAGGGTTCTCACTTTGTCACCCAGGCTAGACTGCAGTGGCACTGTCATGACTCATGAAGCCTTGACCTCCTAGGTTCAGGTGATCCTTCAGCCTCAGTTTCCCGAGTAGCTGGGACTAGGCACATGCTACCCCGCCTGGCTAATTTTTTTATTTTTTTTTATAGCGACAAGGTTTCATTATATTACCTTGCCTAGACTGGTCTCGAACTCCTGGGCTCAAGCAGCCTCCTACCCACGTCGGCATCCCAAATTACTGGAATTATAGGCATGAGCCACCATGCCCAGCCTGCTTTGTCTTTTTTGGTGTGCTCATTCATTCTCATTCTCTCGCTCTCTCCCCCCCTCCCCCTCCCTCTCCCTCTTCCTCTCCCTCCA